GTTACCCGGCTGCACAGAACAAAAATGCCAAGCCAATGGCTTAGAATAGCTGGGGTAGAGGGGTACAAGTGGGTAGAAGAGGGGGCCAGTAGGATGAATGCGTTCCCTGCAGGCTCGCTTTGTCGCCATTTTGCATTTACATGCCACGCTCAACGCCTTTCAATAGGCCGCCGTTCACAAGGAGTGCGCACATTACTCGACATTACGTATACGCAGCGATGCTCGGCCAGCTGCAGAGAATGTAAACAAGCAGCTGTGGGGAGTGACTTCCGTTGTGGGAAATGCCGACGGTGTCTGGGCAACGTCTTTTGTGCCTCTTCTGCTTATTCAAAATAAATTAAAAATGGAAGTGACAAAAGATAAACGTGGAGGAGGCCAGGAACGGCGAGTGCAGCCAGCCATCGCATAATTATGAACTTGAAAATTCCTGAGGACGGGGATATTGCTCAATTATTCAAAAAATAAGGCGCTGCGTTTTCTCCGCCCATTTACTTTCGCCGCCAGCATCTTGAGACACATCGAGTGGTTGAATCCTTTTCCTTTTGGGGATCGGAACCCTCCCAGCTGGAAATGAAATCCGAGTAGCAGCAAAATTGCTCCATATGAATTTTTAATTGGAATATTTTTAGAACGCAAGTGAGAGTTGGCAGCAGAAAAGGAGAACTTTGATATACTCGCATTATATATGTATACACCGGACTATTCCGAATTCATATTTCATTCGACAGCACTGCCTGGATTCAGGATTCAGGATTCAGGTTCTTGAGGCTTCCGCTCCCACCCGGATGATAAGTCATTCAACTGTGCAAGACGATGGATCTTGTGACGTGTCATGCATCACAGCTGCCTTTTGCCGTACATTTGCCATATTCGGCTGCAACGCTTTTGTTGGTGCCCGAGGTCATTGCAATTTTGTGCTGCGACACTAAAGTGTCTGCCACACACACACACACACACCCACAACTGCATACAGGAGCCAAGTTGCGCCACATCCTGCTGTTGCTCTTCTTTCTGCTGTATGAAAATTCATTTCAATTAGTGAAATGGTTTTGGGATTTGTACGGCAAACCACAAGCGCGCTTTGAGCGGAGGAGGGAGTGCACGTCACTTCGGTGGCATGCAACGAGCGAGTTACAGCAGCGTTTGTTGCAACTTTATTTACCTTTAGGTGGGACATAACTTGTAAATAGAGATACAAACGGGGGTTGCACGTGTGTGTGTAATTTCGAGGCGTGGGATTTGCGGCAGGATTAAGAGCCGTGCGAGGAACCCCAACGTCTTGGAGGCCATTGAACTGCGGTCCCTGATTAAAGAGAGATTTTCGGGGTAGCTACGGCAAAGTAAGTGAAGGCTCAAATATTTAAATTTTAATGCGCAGGAAATGGGAACAACTTCGCCTTGCCCTTCGTAAATGTGTATTTAAAACTTTTTCGCATGACTGTCGTTCCTGCGGCTGCTGTTGCTGCCCCGCAGCTTGTTTAGGCCACGCAACAAACTTACTTTCCTATCTGGCTACATCTCTCCTGGCTCTGCGCAGTTTGCCCCAAGTTGCTCCCTCGACGACACTTTTTTGACGCTGTTTTATTAGCGGACTGGCGGCAGCAACAAAAATGTAACGAAATTTATGCAACTAACGAAATGTTTTTGTTTCTGCATTTTTATCGCCCTAAACGTTTGTCGAAAAGCAACGGCAACGGAGTGGCGTGTGCGACTCATGTGGGGCGACTGCTGTGTCTGAATTTTATTTCCCCCAGTTTCACAGGGACCCAACTTCAATGGGAATTGGCAATCTGGTGGCGAGCTGCAGCAGAGCCCAGAGAGCCCAGAGAGCCCAGAGAGAAGCTCGGAACGTCTCCCAGATACCCTTATGGTAATAGCCTTGACTTCTGCCTGCTATTTGACCCCCAAAAGTTGACCGCACACACGCTCCGACTTCGCAGCTGTATCGGTCAGAGAAATCTTACTTTCTTAAACGCAAATCGAAAAGTTTTCTGGGAGCCAGACAGAGGGCAGCATATTGTCGCACTCTATAAATTATGCGCATAACCAGAGAAACCCGAGTCAGATACAGAGAAACCAGGAGCCAGGAGCCAGGAGCCATGAGCATGTAAAGCAACCACCCCCAAGGAACCTTCGGTTTGTGGGATTCGGTTTGGTTCAGTTTCAGTCTCGGAAGAAAGAGAAACCAACCAAGCATAACTATTACAATGGCAAAAAGTTTAACTAGTCATGTGAAGTCTCTCCATCTCCAGCTCCCTCTCCCTCTCCGCCTCCATTTTCATTTCTGCCCTGTTGGGTGGCTTTAAATTTACTATTATTGCTTTTCCGTCTACATGTGTAATGGGCCTAGGTTGGTGGCAGGAAACCGACGCATTTGTTCGGGGAGTTTTGCACTTGGAGTCGTTCACACAAGGTGAACTGGGGGCTGTTTGGCTGCTTGGCTGCCTTACTTATGGGCCTTAAACTTGTCACACTTGTCAGCTGAAAAGTTTCCGACAGCCCGAATAATAATCAGGCCAAAAAGGGGTAGCCAAAGTTTTGGGAGCTGAGTGAAGCTAGGAGCGATGGTGCTGGTTTAGGAGTAACTGCGGTTATTTGTTAACCCAATCAGCAACGGAATTCTGAGCCTACTGGGATTATCAGTAATGGCTTTGGCCAATTTTCGAATATTGTTTCGATTGATAGATGAGATTTAGCTTTTTTGGCGCCTAGTTGCATGCAACGCATGCAGACGGGCAGGCGGGCAGTAGCAAAAGCAGCAGAACAGAGGAACAGGACTCTGCAGAAGACGCAAACGGAGAGAAGACACGGAGGTACTCAGATAATCACAAACGACATAATCACAGCAATTAGGTGCGTTAGTTTATGGTCAAGCAGCAAGCACACAGAATACCAAGCCAACTGACAGTCCCATGGACAAATGAATGGACGGACTAACGGGCAGGCCAATTGCCTTGCCTAGTTACGTCAGTTAGTTGGTCAGTTAGTTGGTCAGTTAGTTTGTCAGCTGGCCAAAACGGGACACGCCCCAATTAGTTGGCCTCCTCCACGGGCGACACCGCCCGAATCTCTGCGCCTTGGATTTGCTTACAATTGACAGCTGAGTGACATTTGGGACTTAGGTCGAGCTTATATTTTTCCCCTGCAAGCCGAACATCGAGTTGACATTCATTATTCAAATGTCGCACCCGCATGGCAGACATTCCGTAATCCCAGCTTAGTCTTTCATCACACAAACTGATTAGGCACAAGAGAACCTGACAACTGATGACCACAATTGCCGTTTAATTAAAGCCCGAGCAGCCTGCAAATCTGGCAGAGCTACAGTGGACACCACTGAGAAATGACAGGAGCAGAGTCGAGCGGCTCGGCAAAGAAGCTGTCATAATCATGGCGTTGGAAGGGGTTGTTTTCCCAGCGGGCGAAGTGGCAGACACAAAAGGTAGGCATTCTCTATTATTGAGTCCGCCGTCATTAAACATTGAACCAAATGCTTTTACGGCGTACAACTTAGTCCTTCGGGGGGTGGGGTAGCTATAAGTTCACATTGGGGTGATCAGAGGAAACTCGAGTCCTCGGCCCGTTCTGAGTTACAGCACTTCGATTGATGTTCAGTGAAATGTGAATGCGAATGGGATATCCAATGCCGGTATCCCTTGCCGGCTAAATTCTATTCCCAGTTTAATTGGCGAAGGGGCTTGTGTGTCGGATAAACATGCTGAGGGGCTTGATGTAAATAATTAAAATAGTTGTTGTTTTTTTTAACCATAATTGAATTGCTTCAAATTTTGGTGTGTTCGGCAGTTTTGGTTCGTTCAACTGCAATGCATTGCTGTATATTTCCGCTGCTGTATAATTTATTTGAAATTTATTAGTTGGCTGATTGGTTTGTAATTAGGCGGCGGTAAGGCAGCTGGTTCGTTTTTGCGGCGTGCCACCCAGTGTGCTGCAGCATCATCTAATACCCATTTCGATAGCCCCAATCGATGGGCGGCCTGTAGCTAAGTGCATGCAGTTTGTTTATCGCCATTAAAGCGCTGCCCAAAACTCTTCAGTCTCGTTTGCGTCTGACATTAATGTCTGCAAAGCAACACCCCACCTACTTGCACACACATTTGTTAGCCAATACGCTTTTGACCTCGTTTTGCCGGGCAAAAAGGTAACACACACATAAACTAAATGCAGCCGAGCGGGTGTGGAAAAGTGGCTGGGGTGGCTCGGGTGGCTCGGAAGGAACCAACAAAATATTTGTGCTGCCAAACTGGGTGAGGCTGAGCCGGCGAGATTCCGCCTGGTCAGGTTTCGTATAAATAAAATACGGCAAAAAAAGAAAGAGGAAACTCGGATCATGGACACCGAGAGGGGCAAGCAAAAATATTTGCACTCCCCCGGCATTCCCATGTTATTCCTGCTCCTGTTACTCCTGCTCCTGCTGCTGTTTGTTCTTGTTGTTGCCATCGCTGGGGTCCACAGCAAGGATTATAAATTATAACAGCCTCACACGGTTATTTATGTCGTGTCAATGGGAGGGGGGTGTCAAGCGAACGGGAATACAGGGATATATCCTCAATGGGCGCGCTTAGTTGAGCGGAAATAGCTGCGAAATAAAACTATGCATCCGGGACCGGCTTTAAAGTGGAGCAGGACGAGATGAAAGGGCCCTAAGTCGCAGCCAGCCGCAGGATTCCACCGCACCGCGCTAAGCCAGAGATCTGCTTTGAAGCTTTTGATTTATTTGCTTGATGGCAAATCATTAATTTGCTTTGAGCCAAAGCAAAAAGAAAGCAGCCAGCTTAGCATGCTTTTCAGCTGCTGTCAGATTTTCGGGCGACAGACAACCACCGAGCAAGCAGGAGCAAAAAGCCAGCCGAAAGAAGCAAATTTAAATAAAACGCAAACCAACAAAATAATCCGACACATGCGCTGCCAAATGATTACCCAAGTCCTTGCCCCACAACCCCCACCTAATCCCATGTGCAATCCCTGTGTGTTCTCGCAAATATAAAACCGAACAATCACTTCATTTTATTGCACCAACCGAGAAAGCCCAAAGCTGACACTTTTCCAGCCGCAAAAAGGGCCCATCATTAAGCGGAATTGAAAGATCTTAAATCGATTTTTTCGCCTGGAAGGCTTGGTGCCCTGGTGGCTTGGTTGGATTGGTTGGATTGGATAAGGCACTTTCCTACTTCTTGGCCTTGCGTCGCCGCTCTTTGAAGGCGTTTTTAATTTCCCCAGCCAGATCCGAGTGGCGATCCAACTGAGTGCCACAGTCAAACAGACGGTTCTCGGCGTTGCACTCGGTTATCACACTGTTTTTATCGTCGGCTCTATCGGTTTTGATGAAGTTTTCGATGGATTCGGGCAGCCAGTGGGCCTCTATGAAAAAGTTGTTTGACTTGCTGCTTCCACGTTCGTGTTTGCTCTTTGCTACTGGTTCGGATGGATCATTGGTCAGTAGGAGGGGCTCAGGGATGTCCCTTCGCTTCCAGATACCCTGCTTGTATTCCGGGCCGTACTTGTCCCTCATGCGCTTTTCCAGCTCGTACAGCTTAAATGGTGGCTCCTTAGCCACTGGACGCTGCACGAGATTGGACTTGGATTACGGATTACAGGTCCGTGCACAAAACTCACCACATTCCGAGCATATTTGTACATCGCGTAGCCGATGCAGCCCAGAAACAAGGGAAAGCCCACAAACAGTCCCACGTTTAAGCTGTTCAGCTCGGGCTCGCTGACCACGTGGGTGACATCGACCGTTTCCAGGGCAAAGGGTGGATAAAAGAAGCGGATGACCTTGTAGGTGGCGTTGGCCACAGTCTGATCTGGAAAAGGCTTCAGGATGTCCACAAACCTCAAGGACCAGTGCGAGCCTGGCGGCGGTACAGATATCTCCATGTTTTGCGATATCAAATGTGCAAACGATTTGGAAAATGTATACAAGACAATCTTATACAAAAAGAAACAACGTACAATTTTTAGATGAATCTAGTGCGAGCTTTACTTGGTGCTGGGAAAGCGGCACTCTAAAAATGACTGATCCATCAAGGGCAACTCAATTAGGCCCGGCATTCCTGAAAACCCTTTGCCAGATATAAATCATCGCCTACTTGGGAGTCCCGGAGTGGAGTCATTGATTTATTAGCAGGACATACGCTCGATTCGATTCTGCTGCTGAAAAACCAGCGGCAGAAGTGACGCTGGAAAATGTAGCTAAAGCTAAAGTGGGAGCTGAGCAAAACCAGCAAAACCAGCCAAACCATCATCAGTCACCAGGCAAACAAACACGCCGAGGACCCAAAGCGCAACGGCGTCATATACAAAAAGTGCTTGCATACATTACTCCGGAACCCATGAGCCGGAATAGAAGTGGGGTCCATGCGAAGGACGAGGGTCGCAGGACACGCTGCGAGAGGCGGAGCAAAGGACGCGTGCTTGCTGGCAGAAACACGTACAAGAAATCATGAAATGTTGCCGCCATCATACCGAAAATTGTACGGGTAACGTGCAAGCAATCAAAGTACACGGAGGCAGGACTCGGCTCGGCTTCGACTTCACCAAGGCCTGTGTGCTCCTCGAGCAGCGCCCACACGTCTGATTTTTACTGCCACGTGTGCTGATGTGACGTCGACAGGATTGCGACTGCCTACTGACAACACCAGTGGGCCTTCTCCCAGCTCCTGGCTCCTAGACTCCATCTGAGGCTTTGGTTCAGACCGAGACCGAGACCGAAACCGAGACCGAGACCGAGTCTGGCCGAAATGTAAAGCATAGTTGACGCAGACGTGCCCAGCTCGACGTGGCTGTCGTAGAGGCCGCTTTTTGCTGTTTAAGTAAGCATGCAAATGTCACTTGCAGCAGGTAGTCGGTACTCGGCGGAATCGGCAGGAGGGGATCGGGAGGAAGTGGGCGTGATAAGCACTCTCAGTTATCAACGTGGGCATTGCTCGGTTTTCGGGCTTTTCTTACCCCCGCAGTGCCTTGCACACACATAAATGATGAGGTACACGTTGCCTCCGGCCGAATTTAGTGATTTCCCCGAGCATGTGGCATACTTTTTATGCGGCGCCTCCACGTGAGCATAAGGAACTTCTGTTTATGGTTATTGATTCTGCCGAGTGGCGGCGGAGATAGTTTGAGTTATGTCCTCGTTCTGATTTGTGTCAGCAGGAAGTTTAAAAGAAATTGTTGCACACTTTCGGGAGCCCAAAGTGGATTACTCTGAGGGTTGCAGGCGCAGGCTCCCTGATTGAATTGGTTTAGCTGGGGGCGCTCGGAACGAGATTGGATTGGATGGGGGACCAGCAATCAAAAGCCTAGTTTGGAGCTGCCTGCGCCAAGCTCCTCGTATGGGCATGTTATGGGCAAAGGCGGCCACCCTCGTTCCACTTATAGTTTCGATCAAAAATTCATGGCATACCCGTACGTTGCAACGCGTTGGAGAGGTGTCAATAACTCGACTGCGATGTCTGTCTGCCCGCACATAATTTACAATTACCGCACGCACAGGCAATTTATTTTCCAGCGCTAACAAATAAGCTAAACATTTTCGTGGCCAAGGGCCGTCCCGCTCCCAGGTGTATTGCAAATCAAAAAATCAGGCAGGGCTGGGCACGAACACACGCCCAGGCAATCAGTTAAATGTTTGTTGAACTCACCAGCGCCGAGGTCCTTAAGTTCTCAAGAACGCAGGACTCGCCCGTCTCGAGGAGTCCCAGGGGCTTCGCCTCTCCGCTCTCGATGCGTTCCTGCCCTTGCCGAAAATTGAGTTTGCTGGCGCCCAGAACGCAGAACACAGAACGCAGAACGCAGAAGCCCAGAAACCGCACAACCGAACAAAAAACCCGGAGGAGCAGCTCCGCACCACGATGAAGCGGCAACTTGAAAAATCGCTTGTCGCACTGCAAGCGGAGTGACGGGGAACGCTCACGCGCAGACGTAGTGATTTGGCTTTAAAAAAGCAAGGAACATTCCGGAGTTCGGGAGTTGCGGAGTTCCGGGGCAGGAGGCAGGAGGCAGTCAGCAAAAGGAGCTGGCAAAGCTGCCACGTAATGAAACTGACAATTTAACTCACAGTCAGCCAGTTGTTTTGGATTTCAGTCCGGGTTCGACGGGGAGCTGAGTGCGTGCTGAAAAATCGTGTTATCGATTTAATGCGTTGCGATATATATGTACATGCAGCCCTAGTGTATGTGGATATACTATACTAAAGGGTTGGGTTGGGTTGGGTTGGGTTTGGGCTCTGAAAAAGGGTCGCTTGCCTTTGGCTTTGGCTTTTATCGCTCGCCCGAGTCTTTGTGACGGACCGACTGAGTGACTGGCGTTCTGTGTGTTTGTTCGCCAGTGCTGTCCTTTGACCGCTTTCCTCTCGCTTTCGCTCTTGGCCCTCCGCAGTGCAAAGGCATTTGATTAATTTGCAGCAGTTTTCCATTTGGAATTGCTTTAGTTTCCTGCAGTTTCGCCACTCTTCCAGTGTGCAGGATTCGACAGCACATTTGAGGCCACTTTCCCTTCCGCTTTCTCCGCTACTTTCTCCCTACAGTTGTGCGTTGTGTGTGTTGTCTGTGTAACGTTGAAAGCTTCTTATGGAATGTTAAGTGATTTTTTATTGAATTTTTAAGCCTCACTTAGGCGTTGTCAATGGCAGTACCCCGGAGCCAACCCAACGTATCTCACTTCAGCCACATCCTGCCGCCTTGCTTACTAAATTATCAACCTTTTCTTGTCTCTTTTTAGGTACGTATACGCAATTTTATGACTCTGTCCTTTCGGGTGAGTGCTAGTATCGAAAAGCAGGGATATTGGGGCTTTATGGGGCTGAGATATGAGATAATGAAGGCCGTTGCATGGCCGTTGGATGGCCGTTGTGGGTTAACAGCAACTTTAACTCGTTCGCACTTTCAGCGGCAAATAAGCGCGCAAACAAAGCCGCCGGCAACAACGATCAAATTTAACGCGCTTTTTAAACCAAACAAAAGCAAATTGCAATGCCAGCACGCACACATAGACAGCCCGGCATTGCTGACACGGACACGGACACGGACACGCATCCCCCAGATGCACACATGCATGCTAATTATGAATATGCGCCGCACATTTAAGCAAATATAAACAAAACGTTAACGACAACAAACAGGAGCGCGGCAGTGGGAAATGCAGTCGTTGGGTGGGTGGATGGGTGGCTGGGTGGTTGGTTGGTTGGTTGGGTGGCAAGGAGAAAAGATGTAAATGCCGCACACGCTGTTGCCACCGAAGGAGACGGAACGTGCCATTGTGGGATCCAATTCAGGGCGCCGGGAACTTGATGAACTGCAGCTCCGACAGCTTATCGCATTGCCTCCGATGAATGTGCGATGCCATACGCTTATTTTTCCTCGTTGTTGCTATTGTGCATCATGCTGATTATTATTATTAAAATGCAAATGAGCCGTGCAGACTTGTCAAGCACTCGCATTAATGGGCGAAGACAACGACTGGATTGGAATCGGAATCGGAATCGGAATAAGAGTCAGTAGGGATGAAGGTGCCCAACAAGTAGCAAACATGCAAAGGGCTTTAATCGGTGCAGTGGATTGCTGGGTTACTGAACAACTCGTCATCATCATCAGGCTCGAACGGAGCCCAGTTTTTGCAGTCATCAGCAGGCATCATCATCAATTGCCGGTTGGCTGCCCATTAACATAATTTCAATTTGCATAAAATGGCGTTAAATATTACATTTTGGACAGCTGCCGCCTGCAGTGAGTGACAGGACGCGAAATGGCGAGGGCTGGCTGGCAGGTTCATTGAGCTAATTGCAGGTGCGAATGTGTCGCAATGAGCGTTGCACGATCCACCAGACACGCAAGAGGGCACGGTGGGTGGGGGGGTGCAGTTTTGGGGCTCCGCTTTGTTTGATGTTTAATTTAGATTGAATTTCCGCATAAATTATGGCGCACAGAAATGATTTCAAAATGATTGCTGGTTTGTTTGCGGTCAATTTCGACTGCAACTATTGCATAATTTGAGGCTCCGGGCCAATTAAACTGAGCGCCCGCACACCCACACGAATCTCTCATTTGTGGAGCTGCGTTTTTTATATCAACAGAGGTTTCATTTGAGCCCACCTTCAGGCAGGCAGCCTCCAGACGACGCCACTCCGGGCTGCTTCCACGCAATTTCCCCCAAAAACGTCGACTGCCATGGCTGCCGTCTAATGTGCATTTCCCGCCCGCTTTCCCGCTCTCCGCGCCTGCTCCCACCAACTGACACCTCACACGCTCAACGATTTTTGATTTGGCAGCTCGTTTGCCCGTTTGCCGTTTGCCGTTTGCCGAAATGCAGCAGCAACAGCAGCAGGAACAGCAACAAAACTGAAGCGATTCTGCCAGCCGCCATGCCACGTCGCTCGCTTAGCGCATTTGCAAGTGATTTTATGCATATTTCATGGCATACTTTTGCACGCCATTAGCAGCTAGAAAGCAGCTACAGTGAGGAGCTCGAAGGCTAGTTATTCATTTATTATGACGACTATTTCGACTCAAAGTGAAAGCCATTCAATGGAGCGGCTGGCAAATTGCGTGGCAGGCAGGCAGTCAGGCAGCCAGGCAGCCAGGCAGCGCGGAGGCGCCACGACCATCGTCGTTATTATCGAAACTTTGAAGTATTTCCAACTCGATTACCATAACCCAACTAAGAATCGTAATCAAATTTTCCCATTTGACACTAAACTTTGAAAGCAACTGAGTAGGATGGTGGTTGTTTACGCAGAGTTTGTAGGTCCCCAAATCGAGTTAGACAATTAGAAAGTGTGCGTCTGCATTCAATGTGCCAGTGAAGCGCCCCCAGGCATTCCATAAACTTTGGCCAAATCTTTGGGATTGCATTTTCTACTCGGACCCTGCGAACATGCTGCTGCACAAAACACTATGGCCCCGAAAATACGCATGACCATAATCGAGTTAAGACAGCAAACGCTTTGCCAATGAGACAGAAATATTGCTGCTTTTGACTTTGTCTCGCAGCCGACTTTTTATTCATGCCACACAAAGTGAATGCTCACAGAAATATGGGTGATATG